AGATCCACTTTTGGATTCTTATACCCACCTCTCACTTGTAGGAATACTTAGAAATTTCCGTGTTCAAACCCTTGTCCTCAAATTAAAAAAAAAAAAAGGAAAAAAAAAAGAATAAAATGGTGTAATTACCCTCTTTTAAAAATGAAAAAAAAATTACTTTCGAGAACTTTCTTATTGTTTGTTTGCACAATGGTGAGTGATATGATGTAACAAAACAACTCCCAACGCAAATATCACTCTTGAGAGTGAGAAATTTTTTTATAATCTTTATTTAAATACATGTTAAATCATAATATCTTTTTATTTATTATTTGTTATGATAAGTAAAAAGAAAAAAAACATAAATTTTATTCAATTTAATCATTGAAATTAATTAATTTCTTAATCAAATAAAGTCCTAATTTAGATTAACTATACTTATAGCATGTAAATAATAGCTAATGAACTTCGATTCTTGCAATTAAAGTTGAATAATATGATCATTTGTGATTTTTATAAAAGTCTAAAATTACCTGAAATATGATTCATGTTATAATAACTATAACTATCAAATATAGGATAATAACTAGTTATCTAATGTTCCTTAACAATTAAACCAAACAGGTCCAAATTACCATTTGACCTTTTGATTTACATAACATTTCATGCCATTGCCAATCCTCAATCCTTGCTTATTAGTGAGCATACAAACGTACAGTAAGCTTCTGTCCTAGTGCTACTCATCCAATTTGATACATCAAATGCTTTAGATATGTATATGCTTGCTATCATCGAAACTTCTATTGATTGTTATCTTTTTGTTTGCATCTCCAATGTCCAAAACAAAGGAAATTGAATCACCTATTACCAAGAAACTGAGATTCTTATTTGATGCATGGGGCTAATCTACAGAGATGAAGCAAGACGACGGAGGTCAACATAGCCTGACAGCACCGATCGGTTTCTTTCTTTAACACTTGTCTGATATATGACCCTGCAGGTTATAACATCAAATTTGAGATATCCACTCAATAGGGTGGAAAACTGGTAAAGTTGCATGTTGATCTCAGGATTTTGTCAATGGCAAAAAGAATTTGTACCTCAAGTCTTCAAGCCACATCTCAGTAACCAAGGTTTCACCAGGGTACACGTGTAAAAGGAATCGACCACAAATACCTTTCACCATAGTTGGATCTCCTTTGCATACAGATTTGATGATGGCCCTAACTGCATACCCCAGAGTGCACAACCCATGCAAAATTGGCCTTGAGAATCTGTCAACAATGGGGAAAAAAGTGACCAACATGAAGTTAAATAGGGGCATGTGGTCATCCACAAAAAGGAAACTAAACCCAATACAGCCAAAACCACGACAGGAGCAGATACCTTAAGGAATCATGGAAGTCATTACAGCTCCAAAAACAACTCTCATTCATACATAAAAAATAATGATGCTTGGTGTCAAAAGTATGAAAAGGATGAATTCTCTATTCTTAGGATTGCTTTGTCATTATTCATTCTGACTCAGGTCTCTTCATACCTAACGACTAAAGTTTGGACAAAGTGGGTAGCATTATTGAAATAAGGCAGTTTGCACTAAAGAGATATGCCTCAACCTCAGACCAACTTTTTGATGACATAAGGCATAGGATGGATAATTGACCTCTAATGCCTTCCAACAAGATGATGTTGAAGTAATGGTAGAGTTATTTGTCTACAATTAGTATTAACATCTTACTAGTTATTGATAACCCCCTACTCTGCAATTTAGAAAGACAATTGCTGGGCCTGAAACTGTACTTTTTATCTTTAAACTAGAGTGTCATAGAAGCAGAACACAGAAAATAGAAAGATAGCACTTCAATGAAAAGGAAGTTTGGCAAAAGTGTTGTAGCTAAATAAGGCACCAACCCTGCAACTTTTGCAACCATAGGATCTGCATGTAGACTATTGTAGTCACCAGATAACCTATACAGCAATGCCTGCAAAAAGAATTAAAGAAGAATGTGTAAAGAATGTAACTCATGTTCCCTCAAAGAAAGAAGTTGATATTTGAGTCAAGATCCACAGTATGAATTACAATTCAAGAAGGATCAAAACTAGAAATCATATGCTACATGCCTGAGAAGGTTGGGTGCAATCTTCAAACACTGCAAAAGGTTGACTTTTGGGGATTCTCACAACTGAAGACTGGTTGGTTGAATAGTTTGAATAAGAAAATGGCCGTGATGGATTTGAGAAGCCACCAGCACCCCGAAGATAGACAGTCATCCTGAAATATCATCCTAGCATAGAATAGACATCGGCAGTCCTGGGTAGGACAGTTCAGAAAAATAACTCACCGATTCATGCATAGTAGTTCACCAGACTCTTTCTCATAACTTCTGGTTTCAAGCTCAAGAATAGCAGCTTTACCTGAAAATATAGCAAGAAGGGGAAAAGGCCATCAATATCGTCAACAAACGACTCATCATGTTAACAAGGAGAAATTAAAAATTTGCTTCACATTTTCAAACTTTTTTAAGATGTCAACAAATATGGGGGTAACTAACAACTCTCTGTACTAAATATACACATAGGTTGACCAAGGAACCTTGTATTTTTTTTTTATCACAACCTATATCCAAATTGCTCAGCTCTAGCACGTTTGAGGATGTTAACAAGTAGACAACATTCTTGCAATGAGCACAAACCTTTATCATGTAATCCTGCAAGACTTACTTCATTACGTAGCTGCACCCAAGAAATGCCAGGCAATTATTAACAGAATCAGCATAAATCAGAACGCATGCGTGTTCATAAACTTGGTAACTTGGTCGCACACACACACACACTTACACACACGTCATAAAAAACCTAGTTATAATGCTTCAAGAAGCCTGGTTCGAAGTTTATATAGCTTTCTAAAGATTGACTTCTGTTTGTTTATCGAAAATCAAAAACAAGCCCACTGAAATTTGTAAAACAAATATGAACCAACTCCAAGTCCAACCAGTTTGAAATTAAACCTAGACATGAGGAAGCCATAGATAATGAGATGTCAAGAGCATACGCTAGCTTTTGAAGGAAGTGGCTTGTAGATTTCTATGTGTTGTTGTCCGTGCAACAGAAGACGAGGATCAAATCTGATAAAGAATGAAAATCAGACAAGTCCATTAGTTCAAAAAATTCATTGCAAAATTACTCGGTTTAATATCTGAGATTAATCAAAGAGACTTACTCTAAACCTGGCACTGGCACATCGGAACCATTTGGCAAAGACCCAAGTGAAATCAAAGCAGCAAATGTTGGCAATACCTATTACATGCCAAAAACTATAATCACTGTTTTTAATATCAATAAGAGGTGGGATGGCCATCACAGAAAAGTTTTACAAATCACACTTACCGTATAATTGTAATTTATAAAGATTTTTAGATAAAAAAATTATTTTTAATAAATATAAATAAATCAGCTTAAATTAACGAAAGTAATTGATTAATACTTGGATAAATTGCTGGCCCTTTTCATGGTAAACATATTTAAGCTCATCGGAATCAGTGGCGTCCTGTCCACACGCTCCGATGCCCAGGGCATAGAGGGCTGCATCTCTGTTTGTTCATTAAATTATATATAAATTACATGAACCAAGCTTAATAATGAAAATAATAGATATTTGAGGAGAATTAAGGGAAATTAGAAGGTATACCGCTCAGTGTAATTGAAATCCGGCTGCAAACAAAGCGAGAATTGAGTCAATCTCAAAGAAAAAAGGGAAAGCAAATGAAGAGGATTGCAAAAAGTGGATATACCTCGGGGAATTTGTGAGAGAGGAGGCGCTGTGGATCGAAAGATGAAGAATCCGCCATGTTAGATACCGAATCCCTCAACTGGAGCTATCAACCCTTAGCTATTGGATTTGGCGGGCGACAAGGATAAATACTGCTAATTAGACACCCGTAATAAAAGATTGCGTATTGGCTTGCCCGTCTAGGTAATGTCTACATGCACCGTATCTCCTTGGGTTTATTAAGTTTTTTTTTTTTTTTTAATCAAGGTTTATGTTAAAAAATATTATGCATTCCTGGATATTAAAAGTTATTTTTATTCAATACTTTTTATTTTTCCTTCAGGATTGAATTTTTTTTCCTTGAGAGGGATACGATGGGCGATGCATTTCTCCGCCATCAGTTAGTTGCTTTTGTTTTCTTTTCGCAAGTACCAAAAAAATAATTTTTATTTTTAAATTTTATATAAAGAAATAATATTTATCTATTTTATCTTC